TAACAATGGAAACCAAGATTGCCACAACTGCCATCACTAAGTAAAGCCTTTGTGTGACATTACACTTTATGACTATTTGCTTAGTGATGGCACTTCCTGCCCCGATTTGCCATCCTTAACTGAGGACTATCTGTAATAGGCTAACGCAGTGCTTCTCAATATTTTCTTCACCACAGACCCCCTTTAAATATTTTTTGTGGCCACGGATTATAGCCATGGACTCCCAAGACTTCACTCATGATTTAAATCATAATATTTCTTCAAGCCTTCACAGGCCCCCTATAACCACATCGTGGCCCCCCAGAGGTCCGAAGACCACAGGTTGAGAACCACTGGGTTAATTCAAGGCCACTCATGGGCTGATATGTGCATGCAAATAAATTCTTGCAGACACATGCATGCACTTGTGCAAACCCCACATTATTCACAGGATAATCTTAAGGCATCCAGATTTAAGGAAGGAGTGTGATGACCTAGGATCCTCTAATCCATCAGCCTATTGGGTGACTTTACACCAGACAATCTCTCTTGACCCAACTGCCTCACAGGGCGGTGGAAAATAGGCACAAGAAATATACATATGCTTGCTTGAGTTCTAGAATCAAAGGAAGGATGTAAATCTGATAATGACATCCATGTGTGTTTACACCTCTGCTATTTTTCTTTCTACCATCTGGCTAGACCCCATTAGCATCTGTCCTCTCCTGTCTCCAATTCACAAAAACTTAGAGAAAAGCAGCGATAACACTGTCCCCAAGGATATAGTTGCCCTTTTTCATCTGCTTGCCTCCATGCCAAATCCCAGTGATGCTACGTGACTCGTTGGTTCTTTAGTGTGTTCTAGCAGCCTAAACCACAAACAAAAAAGGAGGGGGGGCGTCCTAAAAATATTGCTTACAGTGGAAAATAATGGAAGATGATTCCCTCTCTGGCTTTAGACATACTTCCTCCCTTTTCTGTATAGCCAAGGAATGAAACATCCATCTTTTTCTGGCTGACACACACTCTTTGCTATGTCACACTGGGGAATTAGTGACAGAACATGGAGCAAGGCCATTAAGGAGTGCAACCATTTGATAGGCTGGAGAGATTGTTTACAAATGTTGCCTTAATAAATAGTTCTGTTTTGCCTGCTTCATTGGCAAGCTTACGGGCTGGAGCTCAGCAATGGATTCTTCACAATTGACTTGGCAAAGCTTGACTAGATTTAAGGACTCAGACCTTAGGCATGGCACAAGACAACTCTTTAGAGCTGTCAAAGAATGGCACATCAAATTGCAAAACTCTGTCTTGACGTGTGAAATAACTATGTATTTGAAAAGAAGAACTGACCTAGAAATTTAATTCAACGTGGAAGCCATATTTGGATTATGTTTCCATGCATGAATTTCTACTAGATCTGAAATTTGAAGTTGTTGGTTTTTTTTAAAAAAAAAAAACACCCACCATAATGTTTTCAGTGGTAAGCGCAAAACTTTTTCGACTAGGCAGAAATTATTGTGACTTTATATTTTGCTTCACATTTTATACTGTGTTGTTTCTTGTATACTAATTTAATTTTAATCGTGACCTGAAATTTTAAAATTATAAGCAAATTTTAAGCAAAAGGAATTTTAAAATGACATAGCATGCAAAACCAAACTACAGCATATTGAAAATTCTTATCAAAAGCTTTGCAGGAATTTTTTTTTTTTTTAGTTTTATGATATTTGTAAATTTCTGCTTTATTTGGTATTTTATTCTTTTTAATCTCAGTTTTCTTTTTGTTTTCTTGTCATTTTTTTCCTTTAAAATGTCTTTTTTAAAAAAAAACAAAACAAAAACCCTTTATTAGAAATTATGATGGAAACACTAAAATAATTGGTAGGCATCTGTCATCTTACACTATTGGGCCTTGAACTGGATGACTGTTTGATTTGTTCACATTACTGGCATCTCTGCTCTGGAAAAGTCTGTCTCTCAAGTCAACTCTCACATTATTTTATTTCATTATTATTATTGTTGTTATTATTGTTGTTGTTATTATTATTATATAATTATTACTATTAAATGTATTGGCCACCCACCCATTGAAATGGCCTCTGGGCGGCTCATGGCATAAAACACTAGAATCAATAAATATTCCTAACCCCAATAAAATGACAATTACCTTCAAAGTAAAATCATGGTCATAAGATGGGGAAGTTGGGGGGGAGGCAGGGGAGATGGGTTTATGAGTTTCTCCAGGCCAGAACTGGGGGGAAAAGTCAGAAGAACTGAAAAGAAACTCTGCTTAACATAAAATCTATGAAAGACATCTAAAGAGCAAATGGGAAGCCGTTCTTATCATGAGAGAACAAAATTAATGCCTTTATTAGGACTAATTGAAATATCGCAAAAGAAGACAGGTTGTTGATACAGATGATTGACTGAGTATTGCTAATATACTTGGCTAATATGTAGTAAATGTTTGTTAATCATCTCCTTAATTCAGTCTTACAAAGAACAGCAATTCATCCACTGCTCTCAACGTATCCCTTACTTTAGCCAAAATACTGTATGTTGTCTATATAGCCAACATTTTATAAATGACACCTCAGATTTCTGTCAAAGGTGGATTACCATTGCTTGCTTTATTCACATAGCAGCTTAGGGCAGAGGTCCCCAACCTTTTGGGCACCAGGGATCGGTTCCGTGGAGAGAGGTTTTTCCGCGGACCGGAGGGTGCGTGGTTTTGTGTGCTGCCTGCATCCCACAGATGGGGCTTTGCTTGTTTGTGCAGACCGGTTGCTGGCATGCTGCGGCCCGGTACTGGTACATGGACCATGGGTTGGGGACCCCTGACTTAGAGAACAGATAATATAATTAAAGCACAATATTTAATAGTTCTTAAAAGTACCTACAAAATTCATATTTACAACGTGAAATCCACCCTAAGTGTATAATAATTGAAATATGGCTTGGAATAATTAGAATAGGATTAGAAGTAATAAGATATGGGAAGATCTACCAGTTGAGTAATAATTAAAAGACTGACTATTTTTCTGAACTGCCTGAAGTTTCCATGCATTCGTTTCCCCTCTCTTTTGGCTCAACCTTATTTCTAACATAAACCAAACCTCTTGGGATAAATTATGGGGGGAACTTTTATAATTTATAGGCTAGAAATATTGGACTGATGGGCCTCTGAAATTACATAGATTATCTAAGACTTGAAGTAACTGCGGATTCAATCACTTTATGAAGCCTTGGGTAAAGGTCCAAAAGGACAGATGTATGGAGCATCTAATTCCCATGGCAATAATCAAAGTGAGACCTTCCTTTAATCCAAGGACAATTAATACACTGTTTGACAGAATCTTTTGGCATACTCCTCTAAAGCTAGAATCTTTGAAGCTACATCATTTTCGGGAGAATAGCTGAACTTGGAAAGCCAAGGACACTTGGAACTTGGAACTTTCTGGGGGTTAAACCTGATATAGTGGCAACTGTCCGATCAACTGTTCCAACTTTAGAATTCAACTGCTAAATTATTTTATTCTTCCCAACATTTTTTGGATGGCAGCCACTACTTTTTTTTTTCTACAAGCCCAAATTCCTTTATACTTTCCAGCAGGAAAAATGCAAGCAAGCCAACCATCAACAGCTGCTCATTTGCCTTTTCCTTGTTAACATTAAAAAAAAACCCAACTAAGTAGGCAGTACTCCACCCTTTGGAGATGACCCAGGATGCTCCTTTTGGTAAAGAAAAATAAATAGACCCTCAGTCAGTTTGATTGTCTTCCTCTCATCCCTTTTTCTCTCATGCACTTTTCTTTCAATCACTTGATTCAGAACTGGACCTCCAGTTCCAGCATTGGAGCACAATCTGCCAACAACACAGACATTTGGAAGCAATCCATGGATGAGAGAGACAGAGTCTTCTTGCCCTTTAGCTTTTAAAACCAGCAACCTATCCAAACGTATTTATTTAATAAAATTTGTAGGGCCACTCACTCACTCTCAATTATTCTGGGCAACTTAAACCCAGTATACAAACAATAAAAACAATAATCCCTACCGGCAACAACAATTAAATCAATAAAAGAGCTCCATTCCACTCCGGGTTCTCCAGGCCTGTTGGCAAAACCAGGTCTTCAGGGCCTTGTGAAAGAGTATCAAAGTGGAGGCCAATCTAATCTCAGGGATGATGTTCCAAAGAGAAGGAGCCACCATAGAGAAGGCTTTCCTTCTGGGTCCCACCAAATGTACCTCTGTAGGAGAGGGCACTTGTAACACTCCCTGTCTCCCACTCTGTTGGGTCGGGTAGATGTGACTGGAAAAAGACAGTCCTTCAGATAAGCTGGTCCCAAGCCATATAGGGCATTGTAGGTGACAATTAGCTTCTTGAATTGTACCTGGAAGCAGATCGGCAGCCAATGCAGCTCCCGCAGGAGCGATAACACCTGTATACATCTGGGTCTGCACAAAACCAAGCAGGCCACTTCATTTCAAACCAGTTGGAACCTTATATGAAATATCCTCTGTACAGTGATATAAACCACAACAGGCATAATGTCTGCTTTGGCTATTAAGTCTTGATTTCTGACACGTCTGATTTCCTTAGTTTTTGAAATCCCTGCTTTTTCTAATCATCAAACTCCACAAATAATATTGAACAAAAGACACTTGTTGGTATTCACCCAATTCCTTACGCTGGCATTTGAATTCGTGCAAAAAATAAATCGTGTCCTTTAAAAGGACAAGTAACTTATGCATGCCGGCGCTACTTTGATCTCCATTCAAATTCTGATTGTTCAAGCAATTACAAAATGCCTTGCTATAATTAGGAGGGCTGCCTGAATGTCTGCTGTGAGCTGTTATCATGGAAATTTCTGGTATTGGATGGTCTTCCTTATCCTAAAAAAAAAAAAAAAGCTTTTCTGTTTATTTAATGGAAGGAAAAGAATGACACGTGATTGTTGTTATTTCAGGCAAAAAAATATGCTAATTTTATTCATCCGGTTGCCTTTCCTTTGCAGGTATTAGAAGACAGCACAGGCGTTCGGAGGGTGGTGGTCACGCCTCAGTCTCCAGAGTGCTATCCTGCTAGTTATCCTTCTGCCATTTCTCCCACTCACCACTTACCACCATACCTCACTCATCATCCTCATTTCATCCATAACTCTCATACAGCTTTCTACCCGCCTGTTACCGGGCCTGGAGATATACCACCTCAGTTTTTTCCTCAGCATCATCTTCCGCCTACCATTTACGGAGAGCAAGGTAAACTCAACTGTAAACATTTCAAATCTAGGTTACATGTTTGCCGCGCTGTCTTTAATTGTTGAAACAGGACGGGCACAAGCAGTCCTCAACTTACAACCACAATTGGGACCAGTGTTTTCATTGCTAAGCAAGACAGGTGTTAAGCGAGTCGTGTCAGATTTTTCTGGTCTTTTTTGTCACAGTTGCTGACCAAATCACTGCCGTTCTTAAGTGGATCATGTGGCTATTGAGCAAATCCAGCTTCTTCCCACTGACTTTGTTTGCTGGGAGCCAGCTGGGAAAGTCACAGATGGCAATCACATGACACCAGGACACTGCAACTGATTGCCAACATTTATGACAGTTGCCGTGTCCCAGGGTCATGTGATCGATCACCTTTGGCCACCTTCTGACCAACAAAGTCAATGGGTAAGTCAGATTCACTCAACAGCCATATTGCTAATTTAACAACTACAGTGATTCCCTTAGCAACTGTGGCTATAAAATGGAGCAAACCTCACTTAACAAGTGTCTCACTTAGCAACAGAAATTGCGAGCTCAGTTGTGGTCATAAATCGAGGACTATATGGAAATAAATGCAGATGAAGTTTGCATCGGAATCTGAACTGCATCCCTTGATCTTGTTTCATTTCAGAAATCATATATGGAATGTCAAGTTACATAACCAGGGAAGATCAGTACAACAAACCGCAGCACAAAAAAATCAAGGACAGACAGATTGATCGCCAGAACCGTTTGAACAGCCCCCCAGCCATCTACAAGAGCTACCCAGCATGTACGACGGTCTACAATGGTACCCTCAAGACTCAAAATGGGGCCACCAATGGGGCAGGAAGCATTGGAGGCGTAAGTGGAGGAGGGATGCCAATCGTCAAAAAGGCGGAACGCCGAGCAAGAAGCAGCCCCAAGACCAGCGACCAGGATTTGCATGGTAAAGCCACCCATCTTTTGCTCTCCTTTTTTTCCTGTTCTTCCTCTTCTTTCTTTCTTTCTTTCTTTCTTTCTTTCTTTCTTTCTTTCTTTCTTTCTTTCTTTCTTTCTTTCTTTCTTTCTTTCTTTTTTGCATGTCTTCCTATCGTTTCAGATTTCTGGAAACAACCTAGGAGAAAAATAAAGAAATACAAGGGACCCAGGCCACGTGTAGAAAAGAGTTGTGTATGTGTATGTATGTGTATATATGTGTGTGCGTATGTCTGTATATGTGCGAATATATAAATATGTATGTATATGTATATGTGAATATGAGTGTGTATGTATATATGCATGTATGTATACACACACACACACACACACACACACACACAGACAGACACTTTAGTTTCTTAAAACTCAAGTTTTCAAAAGAAAGAGGAAACCATGGTTTGCTTAAGCACTCCCGAGTTATTTCACATACAAAGCAGGTCTCTCCAGCTGTTCTTACATGTTACACATTTTAGCAAACATTTTTAGGTCAAAACCATACAGATATGAGACCTGATATATTTATTCTTGTTCTTTTAGGCTGCAATTTTATGTTCTCCAATCAGGGACCAAGTTTCACTGAATTTCATCTGGGTCAATGTTTGTTAGACTGCACAATGAAAATAGTTCAAAAGGGATTGCCGCTGTTCTTGCTTCATAACTTACCTTGTCCATGGATGTACTTATTCTAAGTCCTATCACATTCAGCGGACCTTTTTAAGTAGATATGGAATTTCAGTCAATTCCCAATTAGTGCTAAAAGAGATTAATTGAAAACATACATGTTGTTTTTCAAATGTTGGGCGATGCTCATTTTATAAGTACAGTGGTCCTTGATGTAGTATCACAACTGAGCCCAAAATTTCCATTGCTAAGTCGTTGTTAAGTGAGTTTTGCCCCATTTTGTGACTTTTCTTGCCACTGTTATCAAATTAATCACTGCAGTTGTTAAGTTAGGAGCAGGGTTGTTAAGTGAATCTGGCTTCTTCACTGACTTTGCTGGTCAGAAGGTCACAAAAGGGGATTATCACATGACCCTGGGACACTACAATTGTCATAAATATGAGTCCGTTGCCAAGCGTCTGAATGTTGATCACGTGACCCAGGAGGTGCTGCGATGGTCCTGAGCGTGAAGACCATCATAAGTCACTTTTTTCAGTGCCATTGTAACCTGAAATGGTCAGAAATGAATGGTTGTAAATCGAGAACTACCTATATCGGGGGTAGGCAACCTTGGCTCTTTTTTGACTCGTGGACTTCAACTCCCAGAATTCCTGAGCCAGCTGTGCTGGCTCAGGAATTCTGGGAGTTGAAGTCCACGAGTCATAAAAGAGCCAAGGTTGCCTACCCCTGACCTATATGTTCCACTTAAAGAACATTGCAGAGTTTGATTTCTTCCTTCACTGCTCTTTGTCCTCCCTCCAGATTCTGCCACTTACTGACTGCTTTGATTGGCCCCTTCTTTTCCCTTGCAATTATTCTTCATTCCACATAAAGATTCTAGTTGCCAGCCCTTATTTTTAGTGCCACATCACACACAAGAGATCAGCATATGCTGGCATGGAGATCTAAGCATCTGGAAAATCTTCTTGTTGTTCTGGTCGCTAGTATTAGTATTCTGAAATAAAATACTTGCCATCAGCGTGAACGCCTGCTGTAGAAAATGGTGAAGTGGTCATATGAAGTCAGCAGTCCTCATACTATTAATTGGGGCTGTTGTAATTCTATGACAGAGTTCTTTATATACAGAAAGACTTGTATTTGTTCCCTGGCATATTCAGAGAAAAAGGCCAGAGAGCAATTTAATGGGGGGGGGGGAATATTCTACTGGAGATCCTTTTGCTAGGCAAAGTAAATTTACTTGTCTCAATTTAGGGCCTTGCCTAAATTGGGATTATAATTCCCAGAATTTCTCAGATGGTAATCTGAGCATACTTGGAGGGGGATGGAGAACGCTGGAAAAGGTAGTAGCTAGTTCAGGGGTAGGCAACCTTGGCTCTTTTATGACTCGTGGCTCAGGAATTCTGGGAGTTGAAGTCCACGAGTCATAAAAGAGCCAAGGTTGCCTACCCCTGAGCTACTTGAATAAACAGAATAAGGCAGGCATGTCAAACTACCTGCCCACAGGCCGGATGTGTCCCGCCGAAACCGTGCCCACCCCATTGCCGGCAATGGGGGGCGAAATCGCGATATGTCACGCAACGTCACATGACGTTGCAAGTTTGACATGCCTGGAATAAGGAGTCTTCTGTGTTTCTGTTTCATTGCATCCATGTTGGAACCAAATTCTACTGGCTTTTATCTTTCCTTTATAATGCTTTTAAGCATTATAAAGTAATGAATTGCAATGGCTATTCTGACTGTGGAAACATTTTGGAAGGCTGGGGATAAAGGGCTAAACCAGTGGTTCTCAACCTTTTTAATGCCGCAACCCCCAACCAGTCGTAAGTCGAGGACTAAACCGGTCGTAAGTCGAGGACTAAACCGGTCGTAAGTCGAGGACTACCCAACCAGTCGTAAGTCGATGACTTTCCCTGCCCGGGAGCGCCGCGCATGCGTGGTTCCGCCCCCTGCGCCGGCCGAGGCGTAGCTGGCAAGCGGCAGAGACGGAGCAGGCCGACCACCAGCTGGCCCAGCTCAAGGGAGGTAAGGCACCCGCCGGAAAAGGGAAAAAATGGCGGACAGCCTTGCTTGGCGACCCCCATGAAATGGTCGATCGACCCCAAATGGGGTCGCGACCCATAGGTTGAGAACCGCTGGGCTAAACCTAAGCAAAAAGAAAATCAGTTCAGTTAATTGCTAGAGTAAGCTGACTGAGTAAAGTCTGGTAATCTCCAAACATGTTCATGAACCAGCACAGGTAGTGATTATCAAATAATACCCAAGTCTTCTTCAAACCAGGTGTGCTATGCAGTTTAAATTCTGACCATGTTGTATAGCAGTGAAAATTAGTTATAATGTACTTCAGCAACAATGACTTATGATAATGACAGATTGTGTGAGCTCCCTGTCCTTCAGACTATTATCTGATGGATGCTGCTTCTTCTGAATGCTAGCAAAGCTATCTTTGACTTTTGGGGATTGCTTTTGAAATGGACAAATCATAACTAGTAGTAGACTACTTGCACAATAGCATGTGCAAATCTTCCTTGATTCAGAATATCTCAGTTATAGAATGGAATCCTTTTGGAGAGAGAGAAAGAGAGAGAGAGAGAAAAATGAGGAAACCTTGATGTTCTCTTGGTTGCTTTCTTGCAGATGTTTCATTATCAAAACTAGGTAATATCATTGGTGCCCTGTTTTGATAACGAAATGTCTGTAAGAAACATCTGCAAGAAAACAACCAAGCTCAGAGAGCACTAAGGAACCCTCAATTCAACTCGGAGCTACAAATATTCTCCTTTATTAGAGACAATTGAGCGAAACCAAGTTGAGGCTTGCCACCAAGGTTGATCTATGATCTGCATATGTGTAGGTGCATATGTACTTCATCACCTTCTAGGTCTACACCCACTTCACCTGCAGATGTGATAAGAAAAATTACCTTGGGACTTTCTTGCCAGCACAAGATAGCTTCCCATTTCCAGACAAAGCAAACTAAAATGTGAACTGCAGCCTTTTTCATACTACCACCGTCCAAGTGCATTGGATTCCAATTGCTCAAGTAATTTATATCAAGGGGCAAATGCAACAATTGAAAGGGGTTCACTGTTTTATTTGGTAACTCTTGTGCTTCTATATGCAAATGTAGCCTGAGTCTGAACGTGCAGTTGAGGTAAGGGCTTCAGATGTCAGAAGACAGAATTGGAGGACACCACAGTAGAGTTGCAATGCGATGGTTGTCAAGGCTTGAGTGTGCTCTTGCAATAAGCTGAAACACCTGTGCCTAAGTTCAGTATTTTTTGTTTCCCATGGTGATGCCCTGCATGTCAAAACTACAGTGGCATGTCTGTCCTGTCTTTCAATCAGCTGGCCGTGTTTGTTGACTTCAGCAAGTAACTTCAACTGCTGAATTGGAAAAAGGGCAGCACTTTTAATTGTTTGCCTTTGTGTTCTTTTGCTTTTCAAGCTGGAAGGGCGAGATAGTCTTCTGCCTTCTTTAAAGAAAACAAGCATCATTGGTTGCTTCAGCTTTACAGCTCGCCTTGTGTCTGTAAAACTGGCTTCTGGAATCAAAGAACAAAGGACCTGATTATTTGTTTGTTTGTTTGTTTATTTGTTTGTTGTTTGCTTGCTTTGTATCCCGTCTTTATTACTTTTACAAATAACTCAGTGTGGTGAACCTATCCAACACGCCTTCCTCTTCCAATAACAACAATCCTGTGAGGGGAATAGAGCTGAGAGAGAGTGACTGACCCAAACTCACCCAGCTGGCTTTCATGGTTAAGGCAGGATTAGAACTCATGATCTTCCATTTTCTAACCTGGAGCCTTAACCACTAGACCAAACCGGCTCTCTTGTTTTTATAAAATGTAGAATGTTAAGTTTTCATCCACATACCTTTAATCCCCATTTCTGCACACACCCAGTGGATACCTATACCTTTGCTAATACAACAAAAATAAACTTTTTGAGATTTTTAATAAAAAAAGTTATATAGACTTGAATTCTTTCTGTTTCGGCATAAGAAATAAGTTATTTCTGTAGTGGCAACTTTTCCCATGAGGCTGTCCAAAATGATTTCTATTGTTGGGCTGGTGTGCATTGTTTTTATATTTATAGCCATATTAAAAAATATTTATGGCCATTTAAAAAAAAATCATATTGAAAGAAAATTCTCTGTTCCTTCTTAGCTTTTTTGTTTTGATAGTCTGCCTGAAAACAGAATTGTCCATCTCTTTTTTCATTTCAGTCTTTGTCCATTCCATATCTTTCAGTTTGACATAATGATTCTGACATAATGATTCATTTTGCAGCTATCTGCAGGAATATACTAAGCTCTTTGTATGAGAATTGAACTTACTTTTCCAT